TTTGAATATTACATGTTAATAACTTGATTGGAATTATAACCTTGAGTTGACAGTTTGATACTTTGAAAATTTTGAGCCAGCCCTACCCCCAAGGGCTGTAGGGTGGGGCTCAAGGGAGTCAGTGTGCTAAAATTTCTTCATTTTCCTTGTTTAGAATCAGAGGTGCTAGTTTCAAATCCTTTTTAGTCTGAAATCTGTATGCTTGATATTGAATAAGGTGGTTTTATTGTTTTTTGTCACTTTGAATAATATTTCTGTTCATGTTAAAAACGAAATCAACTCTCTGTATAAATATATCAGGTGACCGTTAAGGCCCATGGGCCTCTTGTTTTAACTTACAATTGATATTTAAAATTTAAAATTCCTGCTTTATCGACAGTCCACATAAATTCATTCAATAGTTGGAACAGCGTGTTGTCGAGTGCTGTCGCGTGCTGATTGGCAAACAAAGTAGTACTTTGAAATTTTAACAAACACTCCAACTTTATTCCACAATTCAGTATCAATACAATTGCGTATGATATGTCTATAGGGTGATTTAAGTTTATCAATAGAACTCTGAGGTGAAAGTAAGATTTGAAATTGTTTCGATTTTCCGTCAGAACAAATTTCGCGCAAGGATAAATACAGTGAACACCGTAAATCCGACCTTGCCCTCCGCGAGGGAGTTATTTTTGGAAGTTAAATGAGCAAAGAGAAAAGTCCGAATTTGTGAAGAATCAAGACGTGAATTTATTTGTTGATTGTATTTGAATCTGACTACAGTCACTAGATTCTATAACAGCCTCGTTAGTTGACATGTCGTCAGAAACTGAGGAAACCAAGGCTGCGAGACACATAAAACTGATAGTATTTGAAGTGAGTGATCTTGCGACGGAGCACAATGGTTCGTTACAAATGTCTGAAATGTTTATGTGTGCTGTGACTCATATCAGTAGGTCTGTATTATATGTGTCAGTAGGTCTAAAAAATATGTGTATTTTAGACATTATTTCAGACGATATTTTTGATAAATTGCATGAGTGTTGAAATTGTTTCCATTGCCGGCATTGGTGATTTCAACCGATGTGCATTTTGTACGGTATTGCAGACCTTGGTCTTGTTTTTGTAGCTCACCTGGTCTAGGACCATGGTGAACTTATGCCATACCGCAGCGTCCGTCGTCCGTCCGTTGTCCGTCCGTCAACTTTTCCTTTAAAACGCTATTAGTCCTGAAAGGCAAAGTAGATTTTAACTAAATTTGGTCTGAAACATCGTTAGGCCAAGGGGACTCAATTTTGTATAAACGTTGGGTGTGGCGCCCCC